GAACTAGCTGTGAAGGTCTGAAACAGTGCAACGAAGGAATGCATATGGTCTGAACAATTGCCATGGAAATAGCGATAGATACAAAATTCAATAAATGTCTGTTGCAGATCCATCGATGACCAGCAAGATCAGTAGGTGATCAATTGTGGAAGATTGCATTATAAGTAGTGAATTTATATTAAAAAAAAAAGCAACAATAAACTGTGAATTGACTTTTTTTTCATAAGTAGTTTCTGTCATATCAAGATATTTTAACCGTCCTGGTTATGACGATAGCGTGGACCCACTTCTTAATTGCTGGTGTTCCCAGGTCCACACTGAGCCGGGGTGGTAGCACCTGTTAGGGTCCCAGCTATGGGCAAATAGTTAACCCCGAAACTGAGGTAAAAACCATTATAAAAGTGTAAAAATAAGTTTTAATAACAGAAATACTTTGTAAAAATTGTTACCAGAAATAATTTTTTGAAAAAAATAACTGTTACCAGCAAAATATTTTGAAAAAAAAACTGTTACCAGCAATATATTTTTGAAAAAAATATTACCAGCAATATATTTTTGAAAAAAAATATATTACCAGCAATACGTTTTTTAAAAAAAATATTACCTGCAATACATGTTTTAAAATAAAATTACTAGCTACACATTTTTGAGGAAAAAAATATTATCAGAAATAGGTTTTTGACAAAACAAAATATTACCAGAAAAAAAATGTTGTCGCAAATAAATAACCCATTGAGGTTGATATGCCGTAAAAGACAACAAACCAAACCAAACCAAGATATTTTAAAAGTAACCCGAACATCGTACGTAACGAAATTCAAAATTTCATTTCGTTAGGCTTTCAAAAGAATCTCCAACTATTAACCTTTCCGGGGACAAATCTTTTTTCTTTTTACAGCGACTGGAGAAGAACTCTAACAGCTAACAGAAACTCCGCTTCATGGTATGTTTTTTAATCGTAGCTTAGATGTGGCACAAGGTTGAATGTATGGAGCCCCTGGTGACGATCAATCTCATTCTTCAGTCGTAATTGATAGAACGGACCAAGCTTGCCAACTATCAGACTACGTCCAAATGCCCACGCTTTATGGTATTTGCGTTCGCTTTGATTCTTCTGTTTGTTTCCCAAAGTGAGGTTGACAGGAAGTCTTTCTGTCGCCATGACACTCGGCCGCAGCCTCTTTATCCGATTTCCGGTTATCGATTTTACAGTGGTAGTTTCTAGTTTGTTCTTTCAATCTTGTACTGTCTCTTGTTACATCGGCCATAGGTCAGTTGACCGATCAATTGTTTTTTTTTATTAGACAATTTTCGTCCATCACTGTGACACAGTGTGGGGGGAAGTATGTATGCGTGCGTGTGTGTGAGAGAGAGAGAGAGCGAAAGAGAGAGAGCGAGAGAGAGAGGGGGTGGGGGGATGGTGTTTATATCGCGCTCGTACAACTGGAACTTAGGATGTAATTTTCAAGTTTTCTTTTTATTTTACGAGTGTGGACAGTGTCAGTCCGGATTATCGGATTATGTCTATTTCCCTTGTTCATATTTTTTCTGTCTGTTCACGATAATCTCTTTAACTTGGTCGGTTCATATCTGCTTGTCCATTTCAGTTTTTAATTGCATAAACATATATTAGGTTGGTTTAGCTGTTATATATATATATATATATATATATATATATATATATAATATAAATTAATTGATTTAAAATATGGTTTTTTTCGCTACACAGTTCCAACCATGTTTCAAAAATAGAAGCTAGCGAAAAAAAACATATTTTAAATCAATTAATTTATAATATTAATGCTCTGTAAATTTACATTCAGCACTATTTTGTAAAAATAAAAATATCTATAAGAACACCGGATTTTATATCTTACTGTTCTTTCTTTTTATTTATATATATATATATATATATATATATATATATATATGTGTGTGTGTGTGTGTGTGTGTGTGTGTGTGTTTTGTGTGTGTGTGTTTGTGTTTGTGTGTGTGCGTGTGTGTGTGTGTGTGTGTGTGTTTGGAATAGCTAAATACGAAAGTGGTGTAAAATAAAAGAAAAAATCTAAATGAATTCGGATAGATAAAAAAAATTCTAAAATTGTTGTTCGCATGTGTAGTCCTACCAACATAACAAATTTACACTATTTACATTCTTCGGACTGTATACCTCATCTTTTTTTACCTCATCGGTTATATTGTTCTAGTTCCACGTGCCAAGCCTCTTCTGGATCTCTCGGTTATCTCCATTTACCTCGCCACTGTATTAGCCAGGTATTGAACTCACAACGCTTTTATCGTGTGTCCTTGAGGACATCAGTGTATGAATATTCGGGACTTATAAACTTAATCTCTCAGTAACTGTTTTTTTTTTTTACCAGACCTCATATTGCAATTTTTTGTGAAAGACATGAAGAACACAGGAATTGAAAAGGTTTCGTAAAGTGGAATGGACGTAAGGGGAAAGGTGCAAGATATAAATAGAAGTATTTGAAGAAGGCAAAAGTGCCATTGCTCTGCGTAAGTGTTGTGGTAGGATCCACCTAATTTGCATAGTGGAGTACCGACCATATAAATATGGTTGGTACCGGGAAGAGAGGGAGGAATCAAGAGATTCAACCAGAGATTCTGCCCAACTGCGATTCAGTCAACACATTCTCCAGGAACGGTCTTACCAGGAATAGACTATATGTAAATATTGTGACACTTTCTTGTTTCAATACATTTTGTTCTAAGTACCTTTTGTGTTGCATTATTATTCCATGCATTAGTCAAGTTTCAACAGTAAGCTAATTATTTTTGTTAATAATGAGTGGTTGCATAATTTGCTAACATAAACACTAGACACTGTGTCAATTTTTCATGATGTAACCTAAGGAAAGTTACTGAATCAAATAATCAAACGAAGGTTGGTAATGAACAATAATACTTAGGACAAGAACAACACATATAAGATTCGCCAGCGGTGTGTAGAAGTAGTCAAGTGCTAGAATGAATCTCC